CATTCAAATGCTTCCTAATGACAATACTTTCCATCAAACTACAACAAGATGGAGACATCAGCCACCTCAGAGAAATCCTCTACAGAGCTATAATACAAAGGAACACATGTACCTTGCTGAATTTGGGAGTTTTCTCTCAACCAAACACAACAATCAAAAAGCCTTTAAATTTGGTTTAGGCTGTATCTTAATAAACCAGGACCTCAAATGCAGGAAGGGGGAGGGGGCTTAGTTTTGGTTTACATTTTAGCCTACCAATTACTTGAAAAATGCCCTTGGACTAATTAACTCTATCTTATAAATTATTTATTTTTATATTGGTGCATTTGACAGTGCAGTTACTATCTATAAATAAAAATATTATTAAAACTGTTCAGATGTAGTACAGAAAAAAATGTGATCACGACTTGAGTACAGCAGTAAGAATTATTTTAGTGCAGTACTTACTGTGCTTTAGTGACTGTGATTTGAACAACAGTATGTTTTTCCCAAATCGTTCTTTAATTGCATTATCTACTCCCAAGATTTTTTCTTAGAGAACAGAGTTCAAGGAGGCAAATTATAAAAGTATGTCTCCACCTGTGCAACTGTTGGCTGTCCTCTAAGGCGTAAGTTGGAACACAGTCACTATATATGACCCTTCTAAAAAACAGATATAAAGATCCCTAAGGAAAGCCACAGTTGATGTCAGACTACATGAGCTCATTAAACAGCATTCAACTAGAATACAAGCCTTAAAGATCACTGTCTATGCTCTGTACTCCTTATGGAAGCCAGTCATGAGGTAAAAATAAGTTTTAAAATCTCCAAATGCTGATGTAGCATCCCTTTATTCCTAAATTAGCAGCACAGTCATTCTGGTTACTGTGCTGTCCCTCCCAGGGAAGGCAGTAGCAAAGTTCCCAGGTATATAGGTAGCATGGAGCCCTAACGGGACTTACAATGCTGACAAGTGTCCAAAAATCTGCATGACAATCCATCAACATCCTCCAGCAAAACCTAAGGCTGAGGTTTCACATTTGGGGGCAACTGTGCCACTTTGTTCTTCTAGGTTATTTTTCAATTGGATGAGCTCCCCACACAGCTGCACGTTCAGCTGTGCCAGCCCAAAGCAGAGAACAGCAACAAGCAGATGGGGGCTGCCACTAAAGACACACCCAGGGAACAACAGGTTTGGAAACCTCTGAAACAATCAAACAGAACAGTTTTGATTGGGAGGAGCAAACGTTTTCATCTGGGGAAATCCTGAAGCCAAAGTCTAACCAGTAATGATCAAGACAGCAAAAGCTGGACACAGAAACGAGCTTGAACATACTTGCTAAGCTGAATCAATTTGCGCTGGCTATGATCACATGAATACACATCACTGGCTCACAGTATTTAAAATCTGCAAAAAGGTTGATACCTTGCCTAGAACCTTCTCCTCGCAGTACCCGAGCACAGTTAACAAGACAACTCAATTTCATGTCGGCAGAGAAAACCCTTTAACAACAGCAATTTGAACACACTGTATTCTGGGAAATCTGCAAGCTGCACACTAGCCTTGGGAATTTTAAAGGCTAGGAAAAAACAATGATACTCTAGTCTAATCTCAGATAAATACAGAGTAAAGAGTCTCATCCATAAATTTCTGATGCAAACCCACAACTTCTGTTGGAGACAACTACTTTGTTTTTACGCAAGAGGAAAAAAAGGAAGAAACAAATAAAAAAAAGCACATAACATCTGAACTTCAGCAGCTAAGTGACAGAAAATACAATGCACTTCAAGTAATTTCAAGAGAAATTACTGCAACATTTAACAGGCTTCATTTAAAAATATATGTGCTAGATGTATTTAGACTTCAACAAGGCATCAGCCATCTATTTACCATAGATTCAAAGGGGGCCTGACCCTAAATGATACTTCCCTGGTTGATTCCAATAATGACATGCAGTAACCTACCATGAATCTTCCTCAAGGTCCCTGTTTTCTGGGGTACAAGTCCTAATTCTTATATACAAACGACCTACAGCTTTTTGTTACTACATTTATAAGAAGATACTAGCTAAACGAAAATACTAACATGCAGTGGATTATTAACCTTCACTGAACCAAATGATCCATGTCTGTCAAGGTATTTAGAAAAAATGAGAGATATCAAAACAGGAGAAACTATACACATGAAACCTAACTCATCTCTATCAACCGAGCCCTGCTTCATCTCAATTGCTGTTCATACATCTGCAGCTATTTTTTTCTGCTTTCCACAAACTGTTTTGCAGGCATTTTTAAACAAACAACACTCTCACATTTGCCTTTACTTAAAGACACACATTTCTACATTATAAAGGTGCGCACATTTATTAACTATATTTAGTTAAATAAATAATAGGCTTACAAGGATTAAAAAAAATTTAAAAAGGTGCAGTATTAGTCATGCTGCTATCGTGTGATATTTTATTAATTAGATCCTATTTATTAAACATATCAACTTCTCCATAACTTTGTCCAAGACTAATTACAGACTGGACAGATCTATAGTTCTGAAAATCATCCTGTTTCAGCATTTTATACTTCTGGAACTTCAGTACTTAAAAACTGGATAAAATATACATTACTGGGATCAAAACACTCCTTAACTCCCTTTACTTTTCACTTCCAAAGCATTTAATATTTAACTATAATTGCAATTAGAATGTATGATAATTAAAGTAACAGAATTTATAGAATGGAACAATGTTTATTTGTACGTTAAACTGCTAATGCAATGCACCAGCAGTCTACTTCTTTCACGTAATAGTAGTATATTAATTATGGAACACTTACGACTTTTGCATTGTAGCTAATACTTTTACAGTCTTTGGTACTGGAGTTCAACAACTGTTGTGAACAAGAAAATGTGGCCCTCAACAAAAAAAATCAAATCCAACTCTTTAACTTCCATTTTCCCATCAGTTAAGATTCCTCCGGTATTATTTTCAGTACTACCCCATCTCTTTCAGAATACAGATACATCTTTTTTTAAAATACATTTATTAGTAACAAAGGTTTGTTCACTTCTTGAAACTTCTTTCATGACTGAGATATGACTTTAAATAAGCATCTAAGAAAATACTAAGGATTTTAACTTAGGTTTTAATGGCTAAATGTCTCTGGAGATCTGGTATTTTCAACCATCATTTGTATTTTTAATGCTTGTTCTTTAAAACTGTATACACAGTACAAAGGAGACTCCCCACCAGTAAACCTCGTCTCTGACCCATAGCAACACCTAGTCCTGCCGGTCTTAACTGTTATCAACTCAACAGCAGAGTTAATACAGCCCACAACCCTGCGTTGTCTTTGCCAAGTAAAATATATACAATAAGCCATACTGCAGTCACATCATATCAAGCTGTATCAGGCTAATAAGAAACAGCAGCGCAAGTTGTTTTCAGAGGGAGTGGTTAAATTTTCTAAAAATGAAAACGAAAATAAAAAGATGGGATCAGACTATTCTCCAGAAAAAATCTACAGACAGCATCCTGCCACATTCCCTTCAGGCTTCCCCATGTCTCTGGAACTGGAAACATAAGTGGTTATATTATACCAGTTCGATGGGATGTAGTTAAAAGCTGGGGGCTCTCAAGCTGCTTGTACAAATAATGGATACTAAGGTCCCTGAGTTGCCCATATATTCAACAGAAAGAGACAGATGTCTCAATAACTCAAAGCCTTCTGAATTTAGCTACTGAATTCAGATAACTGCAAATTCCTCCCTAATACTATCAAATTTAAATACTTCTCACCTAAAAAATGAACGTTCCAGCAACCCCAACTCACACTGGTTTATGTCAGACATAGTGAACAAGTGGACTTGTTTCACTGTTATGAAAGGGTCCACAGCAAGCCTGAATCACTAAAATGTGTTTCTGAGCTACTAGCAGTTATAATTCATTTCCCTATTCATAAGTTCCAAGGTAACCGTAAACCAGTATTTCTGTGTGTCTGGAATAAAGGCATTTTCAGGGTGAAGGTGTTCTTTGTGTCCTTACACAAAGTCAAACAGAACTGCATTCTTATTAAAACCAAAAAGCAACAACAATGGAAAAACACATGCCACTTAAAAAATTAAATTAAAAACAAAAAATGCTCCAACCTCTTCTAATTAGCTAAGGTAGGGCAACACCCAAAAAGACTTTCTACTCATTCATACCTTCAACAGTCACTGGAAGGGAGGCAGCTATTAGAGACTGGTCCAGACACCCAGCATGACATTAAATAGACACAGAACAAGCTGAAACCTAGCCCATGTCTCAGCACACAGGAGAGTATCTTTGTGAATCCACACCACTACCAAAAAACCGCTCTACTGACCTACACGGAACAAAGCACAAGTGTACACAAGGTTCTGTGTTCACTGGCTGCAGTGGTGGCATAAAAGACTTAAGTACTTTCAAAGACTGATGAAGCAGAGACATAAAAAGAATGAAGCCACGTAGCCCCCAGATGCCCAACACCATTCTTCCACTCAATATTTAAAACACAACTTGAAACACACTAAGTGCAGGTTTTTGCTTTTGGATTAACACTTTCAGCCTAGCCTTACCTGTTGAGATTGCGGACATACATGAAAGCACTACGCCTGGCTCTCGTTCTCTGCACCACTGTCCCCCACCCATAGGAAACCTTCAGAGGCATTGGTTCAACTGCTCGCAAAATCATGCAATAATGAACCAGAAAAATGAAGTAGACATTGCAGTACCACTGTATAAACTAAAGAAACTCTATATTCATTCTTGAACCAGCAGTGTTTTGCTTTGGAATTTTCAATTAAAAAAAAATAAAAAATGGGAAGTTGCATTGAATACAGTTGTTTCTGTAAAGACACCATCAGTCTTATTCCATTACTAGGCTTTGAAATATAGTACAAAGTGATAAAACAGTGAATTAATTCAAATGGTTTTCAGTCTATTGTGCCCCCTACATTAAATGAGAATCCCCCAATTGTGTTTATCAGAAGTACTAAAAAGCCTTACCTTTTGGATAATCTTCCAATAAGAGGTTGAAGTGACCTAACTGACAAAAGAAATCAGACTCGACCTTTCCTTCAGCTTTCAAAATTAGCGATTCATAGCAGCGAACAGCCTGGGAAAAATAAATACAAGGTTTTCAAAATTCTGTATTTAACTAAAGCAAAATAATACATTTTCAATACATTTTCTAAGAAATAATAAGGTTTCTTGTTAAAGTGTGCAAGGCAAGAAGTCTACAAAGCCTCTCAATAACATGGTTAGCATTACTTTTCAAAGAAGAAATGTAATATTCTAGACAAAACAGATTTTCAAGTTCATTGATTCTAATGAAAATGGACAGCAAATGAAAAATACAAGTTCTCTCTGGTTTATTTGTGAACTCCAAAACCATTCAATTTCCTAAACACAAAACAAACCTCTAACATATATGAAGATTTTAATTTAAAAAATCAATGAAATGCAAAAGAATTGATTTTACTTATTTATCTCAGTCTGCAAGAAAGCGTGTTCTCTGATTTTACTCTTATTCTGTTTGTTTTCTCTGAAGGACTCATTTCATTTTACCATTTTTTTTAGCTATTTTTTGCTAAAATGAAGAATACGTTACCTCAACATGCTTGCTTAGACAATTCATACACCTTAGCATGTAACTCCCAACACTTGATTCATTACACATACCTCTATCATATCACAAAATACAGTTTACTATCTTCTACTTACTGAACAGCTACTGTATGCTAAAAGCATGAATCCAATTAGAAAATAATTTCACTTTGAGAAAATTTGCTCTGCAGGTTTTTAAGCGGCACACTCAAAGGATGCTCTGTGTTGCAAACATAAATTTTTAATGGACTGAAATGATACCTTCTATTCACCACAATGGTTAACCATCTATAACCTATCTTTAACCTCTTACCTCAAGACCCTACTTACACTTTGGGAATAAATGAATAAATAAAATCAGTTTCCCAACTTTTTGAACTTCCAGTTTCTTGATTTTGAACATGCTAGTCATTAAAATGAAGTCGCTGAATAAACCTGAATGGGAAGGAAGGTTCCCAGCTGGTTAATCCATGACTTTCATCAACTCTTATTTTGATTGTGTTTCAAATTTGGTTGCAATTACGAACTGCTTGGGTTTAATACATTACAATAATCAAAGACCTTGATCTAAACTTAATCTGAAAGTACGAGCCTCATTAAGTCATTTTATTGAAACTAGAAATTCGAAAAGGGAAAAGATGATCCTGTAATACTTGAGTCCAAACACTAAATTAGCAGTCTTGTCCGTATTTAGGATTTTGTGTACACTTTTATTAATCACTAAAATGAGAAATGTTGTAATAAAAAGAAATGTTAAGAGATAGTTAAAACACACATGTGGAGAATCCAAATCACTGAGCTAACTCGAACCAGAGCAAGGTAAAAATCAGCCATTTTTATCTTGCGATGCTACCTTTAAAATTCTCGTTTAAATGCTAAGCCATAATAAAATAGGCCTTGCTATACTCAATGAACACAAAGCCATGCATGGGACCAGAGGAGTGGCTCTCAGTTTGCATCCCAAGCTTTAGATGCATTAAACACATTTTCACCTACTTCCAAGACCAGGATAGCCATATTTTATGGCTGTTTTCAGAAACAACATTCTGATGGATAAAACCAAAGCTATGTTGCTGCAAAACTGCAACAAAATGGGTGACATCTGTATCAAATCTGTTAGGTGTATGCACAATATTAGAATTATTTAATAATTCCATTTAAATTCTGTATTTCAAACTAGCTATTTGGTCATATTCTGAGGAGACTGAGATGTGCATTTGCCTCTCTACATCAAAGAGCTGCTGAAGAATTTTTTATTCATGTTCCAATTCCATGCACTGGAAGGACTGGGTTTCTGTTGACAGTTAATCAGAGATACTTTAATTTTATTCCCACCACTCTGAGTACCTCTTGGAGTCAGCAAACTTTCAATCTAAAGAATACGATCCCTGGAATAAGAAACAATGTGTGTATGAACCAATTCTCAACATTTAGGCTCATCAGCTGAACCTACTCCCACCTGCACATGCTTTAATGCAGTATCTTGGGGTTTGTGCCTTGTTTCCTCTCTCCACTTCTTGGTCTCATCTCTCAATTTGTAAAAATTGTAATACAACTCTTGCTGGTGCCCCTAATGTTACTGTCATAGATTAATTTGCAAATAGCCCTTCCATTTTCTGATGCTATGCAATCCATGCTGCAGCTGCTATAGAGAATATTCATACTATGACTTTTTTGTCTTCTACAATTCAGTCACTGTTCAGAGCATATGAAAACTACTACTACAACAGGCAGTTTATAAAAAATTGCTGAAGAGGAAGTTAGAGTAGTTTATTTGCTGAATTAGATGGCTACAGGTATTTATAGCAAACCTATGACTTTATGAACCAATATAAAAGGATTTTCCTATAGAGATATTCAAGCAAACTATAAATCACATACACTAAAACAGCAAAGCGTCTGGGAGGCCCTTAACATTTCCCCAGCCCTTTTTTAAGTAAATCTTCATTAAAAGATGTACAATTATCTAAAGTTGTATATGTATTATATATATAATTATACAATTATAATATGTAATGTATTATATACTGTATATATTGTATATTACATATTATATAGAGAGAGGGAAAAAAACACACCCAAGTCTCTCACACAACTCAGCTCACTTCTCAACAAGGCAGATTTTCCCTTTGCACTAGAAGACACTTTGAAGATTCTGCAAAGCCATGTTACTAAGGCCAGCACAATGCAAGGCGTAGGACACCGGAGCTGCAAACCAGAACTTCCCCTTTAAGTAACAGTTAATTTACAGTTACCTGTTACTGTAAGAGCTATTTAACTACACCTTTAAGTACACCCTTCCCAGTTATCTCTAACCTACTTATAACACTATCAGGAAAATGTTTACATTTATGCAAGCTTAAAATTGTGAAGGCTGTTTCATGTGAATTGTCAAAAATTCTTCCAGCACTTTCTAACTAAATGAAACAAACAACATGCTTTACTTCCTCAGCAGGAACACCAAATTCAGCCTCCAAGTCTCTGTAGGACAAGCAGCAGACTGGTCACTACTCAGCTCATTATTCTTAGTAGCTAGAGCAGATTCAGTTACACAAACCGATTAATTTAACTTCGGCTCTGGTTGCAAAACTTCCTTCTCCATTAAGTCCCTTCACAAACATCTTTAGAAAGGAACAGGTATTTTTTCCTGCATAGATGAGAATCTGTCTCTCAGCTGAATAAACGAATGCAAAGCATTTTGAAAGAGGGAGGTCACAATCACATGCATCTGTATATGGCTGCTTTGAAGGAATAATCAAAAGATCTCATTTCAGCAGATCTGTAACTGCAAAGGCCATCTATGGTACCACTTCTTCAGCCAATTTAAATCATCCTGAGACACTAAGAATTCTAAGGAAGCTACAAATCCCTCAGGTTTTTAGGTATTGTTATTTCTCCATACTGTATGGATTTATAAGTGCACTCAATGGAGCCAGCCTTGCAAATTGCTAGTATTGACAAATTAACAAGCAAGAGAAAGATCCCGAAATGAAAAAGAAGATTGCTACACAATGTTGTACACTTCCTTCCCTTTGTTCAAGGGCTGCATGAAGATAAAAGAGAAACCTGAAGAATTTAGGAACTTGGCAAAATAATCCCCCGCAGCTGTTCTGCAGTGTAACAACCAGAGCAGAAGCAGGAAACAAACACAGGAATGGCTGCAGGAAAAGAAGCTGGCTTATAGGATACCAAGAAAAAAAAACCAAAACCAAACAAAACGTAACAGCACTCGTCTGTCACTTGCGCCATTAAAAGCAAACTGAAGTAATACACTACTGTCAACACTTCTGACATAACACTTACAAGCCCCCTCTTATGACATCACAGCTCATGACTGGGGGCATTCTGATTTCACAAATTGGACCAATTCTTATTACACAGATAAATACAACACAGTGAAGAAGAAAAAGGCTTAGCATATCTGTCAACTTGGAAAAAGTCAGCAAAACATTCATACATGTTCGCAAAAGGAAAAATAACTCCATTATCATTTTTAAAATGCACTGTCAAATCCTTGTACGTTCACTACTTATTATTCCAAAGCGAAAGGAATGGATTTCCCCCCACACGCACCTCTGTTCTTAGAAGAACATTTCTTCTCCCTTTTTCCCCCTGAAAAACAACCCAAACCAAACAAAAACAACCCTGTGAAGCAAATGCCAGTTTTGGCTATTATTAACATGGTATCTCTTCCTGAAGAAAAGACCCTAGAGGTGGGAATATACTACAACAAAAATCTAAGATAAAGCCAGAATTCTAAATACTGAATACAAAAGGGACTGACACATATTGCAGCTCTACTTCATAAAAGAAAAGGATGATGTTATTTCTACTTCAACTAATATGAAGGGGGAAAAAAACCCCACAAACCTTTACCGTTATCACTGATTGCAATTATTTGCCTTTTACAGCACGAATTCAAATTACTGTTAAACCAGTGTACTAAAAAGGGAAGAAAAAAAATAAATACAAAAAAACTCAAAACCAAACAATACAGCTTTTTTCAACAGCTTCTAAAGATGATGATGTTACTATGTCCTTTCTTAACTTGTGACAAGCATGACTGACTAAGATGAAAGTAGTAGGACTAAACTGCCAAACATGACAAAACATTAATTATTAATTCTTTAATATATTAATGATATGAGAGCAGAGGAGTGCACTCAATCAACAAATTTTTACTTAAAACACAGAAGAAACACTGACAGCTACAGAAAACCAAAAAGCTAGCAGTATAAATTGTTAGCATGGCAACCACTGGGCACTAATGTACAGTGAAAGAGATTTGAATTTTACTGGGTAATAAATTAACTGTTGAAGAAAAATATGGTGTTTTAATGCAGACAACACAGTATAAAATGACAAATTCAAAGCCTCAGGATATTACTAGAACCTTAAAGTTCACAATAGAAAACAGTACTGTATATAAAGATGCCTTCCATTGGGGAGGAGAGGGAACAAACAAACAATTCTTGTTTATTTTTTCCTGTTTCTCTAGAAAGCAGTAAC